AGAAGCCCTTTTATGATATTTCTAAATAAATAAATATCTTATATATATATATATATATATTAATAGATTTTCTTAAAATGTTAGTAATAAATTTGAAATAACAAGATTATAAATTAAATATATATTTGAATGTTTAAATTTCTAATAATAGAGACAATTTATAATTAATGAGTATCAATTTTGGGCGTATAGGGGTGAAAATCATTCCCTAAACGTAATCGACCACAAATCCCTTCTTTATTAAAAAAAAAATTGATTATACGCAGATCAGTTTATCTTTTAAATTATGCTTTCTTGAAAACTATTTTAAAAGATTTTTTTTAGGTATTTGACCTACATAACCCAAAAAAGTCAATGGCGACTCCCAAAATATTTTATTTTAAATCAAAATCATTTAATTATTCATTTTAATTTTCCCGTCAAGTAAAATTTCGTGTCCGGGCGAAAACCGGTTACGACACATGCACCGAGTGATGCATTTTTTTATGTTGAGCAGCGTATCATGAAGTCTTGGTGTAATGAAAATTTTACAAAATAAAAAATAAAAAAATGGACCAGTTGTGTTTCTTGAATCTAGTTTTAAAACTCTATTTATTCATAAACTAAAAACTTACAAATTTACCCTTTAAATTTAAAATAAATTATAAGGTTCTTTTAATAATATTCACAAGAAAAGCAAAATCCCCACATCTTGATTTCATCCCAAAAAGGAATAAAAAGAGAATAAAAAGAGAATAATTGATCTATATAAACTTTATGAACTATAGTTGCCTCAAATATTTTATTAACAAAATTCCCTATGTTGAATTTTCTATAAATTGGTTAACGACAAACCCTAAATTTGTCAAACAAGTTTGAATGGTGGTTTTGATGGGTCTCTTGATATCTGATTGATCTAAATTTTGGACTGTAGATTGCTCTTGGGTAGGAATCTAAAAAACTAGTCCCAAATATTTAACTTGTGGTAGGAATCAATAATTTTTTTTATCACAAAGTAAGATTTCTTAAAGTAATACTTTTTTATGTGAAATAAAAAAATGAATTTGGGATTTCAATTACGTGTGAGAAAAAAATCACCTGTTCACAATGTCTAAAATTGGTACATCATTAAATACATGTTATCTAGAATTTTAAAAATGTTAGTTCTAAATAAATATTCAAATATGATACATAAAAATATATTTGTTAATCAAATAAATTTTAAATAGGATATGATTTTTTAATTAAAAATTTTATTTTAAAATCCTAAATCTATCGAATAAACTTGAACGGTGGTTTTGATTGGTCTCTTTATGTCCGATTAATCTAAATTTTGGATTGTAAATTGCTCTTGAGATGAAGAATGTACCTGTGAAAAATTAGTCCCAAATAATTAACTTGTGGCAGAATCTAAAAATTTTCCAATGGTCAAAAAGGTATTGCAATAGTTTTAAGGTCGTTCGATAATTTTTTTAAAAACAATGGATTCGAAATAAATAACTTTTAATAAAATTTTATCACAAATTAAAATTTGTTAAAGTAATTTTTTTTACATGTGAAATAAAAAAATGAATTTGGGACTACGATTATGTGTGAGAAAACAATAACTTGTTCACAACGCTAAAAATTGGTACATTATTAAATACATGTTATCTAAATTTTTAAAGATATTGGTTCAAAATTAAATATTCAAATATGATACATAAAAAATATATTTATTAATCAAATAAATATAAAAGAAAACTTAACTTTTTAAAGTACAATTTTTATTTTAAAATATTATAACTTTTTTTGTCTAACTATAAAGATGTAATTAATGGAATCTAGATTAATAAAAACATTAAATTACTAAAATTAAGTCTAAATTTTTTGAACTTCTTAGATAATTCAAATGAATTGTAGATAATTGAAAATTTACTCAAAAATCTTTTCTAAATTTAAAATTAAAATATTTCGTAAGAGATTATCTAAACATTCCTTAACATTTAAGAGAAATCCGAAATTTAATCGTACTCTAGATAATATTTTAGTCCTATGATAAGATACATATACTAAAGTAAAGTTTTCCTTTTTAATTTAAATGTCTCGTGATTTTTTGAATAATTTTTATAAAATTCGGTCAAATTTGTAATTACTTTTTTAAATAAAACTATTTTTGTAATATTTCTTTCAAAACTGTAGTCATTATTTTTTATTTATGGGATATTTCAGCCCAAATAAATATCAGTAATACCCATATGAATAAACAATGCATAGTACAACCCAAAAAATGTCCATATCAATTTTAATGTCCATTACCAAAAAAACCATTTACCCTTTATTTCTAAAATAATTGACCCATGACCCTACATTCAAGTCATCAGCCCACTAGAGATGGCCCATCCACTTCAACCCAACAAATTAGGGTTTTACCCTTATACTTAGAGTTGCACGACTGTTTACTGTTGAATCTAAACAGATCCAATGTTTCAGATGAGGAGAAACTTAGGGTTTATGAAACCCTAACTTAAGTTGCATTCACCCTTGATATCCACAATTAGATCATCATCCAATCACGACCCAGATCATTTGGGATTAAGGTATCACCAAAACCCTATACACATCTTAGAAAAGTTGTTGTAATTACCATTTTTTCGTCTTTTATATTTATTATTATTCTTATTTATTTATTATTATTGCTAAAATTATATTACAAAAAACTTATTTACAAACCGGGCCCAAATCAAACACAAACTCAAACCGTGCCCTAACCAAACAAAACCCGAGTCCAAACCAAACCCAAACTCGGGACCAAAATAAAACCTAACCTAGCCCTAGCTCCTAGCCCCAGCATAGCGGCCCCAGCTCCTGCCTCCATGACCTGTCATTCTCTACCCCAAGCAAAGGAGGTTGCTACTCCAACATGCCACTCCAACACTCCACACTAAACCAAGTTCCAAGGCAAATGTCATGATTTATTTTATCTTTTAAAAATCTGTAATATGGGTATAAAACCCGAACCAAGCACAAAGTATAGGGATCTTTTTCCCCCGTTTTTTCCAAATATAATTGAAATATTTCTTTCAAGGTATTATTTTTTTTCTATGATTTTGATTTCGAAAGTAATAATAAGATAAAAACAAAACATTTACAGTAAGAAAAAAGAGAGAGGAACAAGGAGAATTTGAGTGGTTACTTGAGAGTGAAAGATGAACCAAAGGGTCAGTTCATCTTCACAATGGTTAGAGCATAGGAAGTCGAAGAGTCGAAGTTTCTTCCCTCATTTTTAAGGGTGGTTTTCTTTGGTTTTAGCCTAGAAAAGGTTTCTAGGGTAGTAGATCGGGGCTTTTGGGTTATTTTGGTATAGATTTAGGAGCTCCGACCACCGTGTGCGGTGGTCGGAGCGACGGTTGAGCGACGGTGTGTGGTGGACGGCATGAGTTGGCTAAGGGAGAAAAGTTAGGGGATAGAGCTTTTTATTTTTTTGATTCAAATGAAAAAAAAAGAGAAAAATGGGTTTTATAGGGGAAGTTTAGGGTAAAATCATGCATAGGTCCCCAAGTTTAGCGTATTTTTGCTTCTGGTCACCGAAAGGGACCAAATCTAGTATTTACCCTTTTTCCTGCATGTTATTACTTATCGGGTTATTTGTTGTTTAGTCCCTCTAGGTTTTAACTTTTTTGTATTATGGTTATCTGTAAGGACTGAAATTATTATTTACCCCTTTTTCGTGCATGTTAAATGTTTATTGGAATATTTTCTATTTAGTCCCTCAAAGTTTAGCGCATTTTTGCATGTTGGTCATATGCAATGACTGTTTAATTTTATTTTAATTTGGCTAGACTAATTTCATAGTTTTTTCATTTTTTTTAATAATGTGTGTTAGGTTTAAAAAAATGGATAATTAGTTTTTAGTCCCTACAATTTCAGCGTGTTTTTGTATTTTAGTTAGTAATTTGTTTTTTATTTTGTTTTGATTTAGTCACTTAATTTTCAATTTGCTTAAATTTAGCCTTCCTTACATGCCTACACTACAAGAAAATATACCTTTAATGACACACGAACGATGACACGCGCTAATTTATGACTTGCAAAAAATGTGTCATAAAAAATGTCACGTTTCTTAAAATCTTAACGATTTATGACTTACAATAATGTGTGTCATATTTAATAGTCATAATCCAAAAAATTTGCAAAAACACGGAGTACACTTTTAATTGTGTGTTATCTGTAAAAGTCGTCTTTTAATTTCTCCCATTATTTTCATCATTTCCTGCTTATTTTTCCCATTTTGCCTTTGACTTGGAAGCATCTCCATAATCGAAATTTCACCTTTTTCCCCTTAATTTTTACGTTTCATTTCTATTTGAAATTGTTTCAGGTTCTCAAAAATGACTCAAGATGTGGAGATGAAAGAACAACCAGCTCCTTACAATTCTGTTACTTCCTCTTCTCCATCCACTTTGTACCGTAAGCTTATTCCATCTATGCATCTATAACACCCATTCTCCCTCTCGCACGCATTTTTTTTATGCCTGGTGGTAGAATTTGATTTGCTATTTTCTAATGTTTCTGAACTGGGAACTTGTGGGATTTCTCATATTTGAATAAATTCTTCTGGGTTTATGTTAGATTTGAAGGAAATTGCGTCTCTGATAGAGACCGGTGCATATGACCATGAAGCTGGCCATATTTTGCAATAAATGTCCAGTTCGTCTTTGTACTTGGAAGTTGGAACTCTCACGGCATCTATGCTTTTTTGTCATCTTTAAAGGATAATATTTTATTTTTAACAAAAATAAAGGTTATGGACTCGAAATAACTTGTATTCCCTTATTTTATTTGCTTGAAGAATCGTGTCTGTAACTCTGTATCTTTTACTGTTATATAGTCAATAGAATTCATTTTATGTTTTTTCTCTTTAATGGTGTAATTTGGTGGTTGATATATATCAACTTGCGTTCTATTCTGTGTTATTTTGTTTGAACCTATTTCGTTGTATACTTATGTTGTAAAACATTATAGGTAAAAAAAATTCTTATTGAGGAGTCCAATGTGCAACCCGTCAATAGTCCGGTAACCGTGTGTGGTGATATCCATGGCTAATTTCATGATCTAAGGAAGCTTTTTCAGACAGGAGGTCATGTACCAGATACAAATTACATTTTTATGGTAATATACCCTGCGTGGAAACTTTTGTGCTAATTCTATGTGATTTCCGTGTCTGTTGTGGTATTGATTTTGGCTAATGGACAGGGAGATTTTGTTGATCGAGGTTATAATAGTCTTGAAGTTTTCACTATTCTTTTGCTTCTTAAGGCCAGGTAAGCATCTGTATAATTTTCCTTGGGGTTATCTACTGATTTTCAATCATGTGTTTGGGTGCATTATTTCTCTACTTCTTGCTTGCTCTTGGTTCGCTATGTGATTACTAGCTCAATTCTCAGACCTCTAACGTATAATATACCTGGTCAAGATGTATCCGATTATTGGTAATCAGCAACCATGATACGTGATTGTGGTTTAGTTTATAGGAGTAACAATGAGTTCTCATTCTTACAATTTTTTGAGTTTGAGAATGAACTCTATTGAAGCCTAATATTGGGTATCTATGATATACATGTATTACAATTTTTTGGATATCATGCGTCTTGCCTTCGTGAATCCCGCGCCTTTCATGCGCCTCGCGCCTCAAGGCTCCAAGACACTTTGCGCCTCGATGCACCTTGAGCCTTTGATAACTTTGGGGTCAGGTAAATTTTCAAATATTTGAGCAATTATATCTCTGATGTGTTAGGGTGTTATAGATAACTGTTTTTATCATGTAGGAAACGCTTCTTAACTTGCTACTTAACAATTTTCTTTCATTACAATTTATATGACCAAGCTGAGAAACTGAGATCAAAGGCACCCAGATTTGAAGCTCTTTCAAACCAACAGGCAAGTCAAAATCTTAGTTAACTTTCTATCTTTGAACAGTAAATAATAAAGTAACCCATGGGCTGAGAATAATGCTCACTTCATTTCATCCAATTGAGCTGCATTTTTATGGTTATTAAATGGTTTCCTGGAGGTTTGGCATGGTTACTTTTATGGTTGTAGCTTTAGAAACTTACAGTTAACTTTTTCTCATATGAGAAAGGTTATCCTCTGCAGTTTTGCCGGTACCTCTTTTAGTTGGGAAAGATTAGGACAATCCAATTGGAGTACACAGGGGCCAAAGAGTGTCTCCTCCAAGCTGCTAGGAAAGCCTGACGCCAGACAGAATAGTAATTATCCTGTAGGCTAGCTCCGACAGACGATTCACAAGAGAAAATTCGCCCAAAAACCAGAGAAAAAAGTCTCTAGGGTTTAATAAAATATTATAAAATCAAACAATGCCAAAAAGCAGTCCACAAGCCGGACTGTTATAGCCAAAAATCGTCTTTATTCGAATTTTGCCAAAAATAGCAAAATCCCGAAAATCACTCTAAATTGAAAATTCGAAATAAAATAAGCAATCTACCAAAAATCCGGCCTAAATCGGATTTAAATTGACTTCCTAATTAACAATCGAAATATTACCATAAATAGTAAAAAATAACTAAATCTAGTGATCCGGAGGGGAAAACGGCAGAATTTGAGGTTGAAAAAAAGGTCACATGGAGCGTAGCTCAATGTGGAGAGCGTGCGCGTCGAAAAGAGCTTTCTGGATTGGGGTCTTATGCGCGATTCTGACACCTGTAGCCAAAGTTATGGCCAAAAGACTGAAACATACTCAAAACGACACCAATGAGGAACATGTCACAATCAATTCCCGCCTTTGCGTTGATCTGTCAACTCATGGTATCTCAGCGCCATCAACGTGCAATCTGACAGCTCAGCATCATCTGTCTCGGATCCCCTGCATCAAAGCCCCTGTCGCAACACTTGGTTTCCAGCTTCAATGCAATAAATGGGCCATTATTGTCTGATTACTACTACGAGAAATCCCCGAGAGGATTGTTTCTTTTTTATGAAAATATTAGATATAAGTTGCAATGTCAAGTTTTGATATTAGTTTCCAAGAATGATCCACTTATTGAAAATACTATGAGCCCAATGGTTAGAAGTATGAAAACTCAATATATCATCTTCGTGATGAATTAGGACGTGATCGAAAATAAAGATTAATATTGTTGTTAACTAGCTTATTACTAGAAGTTCCAATCAAAATTTGCACGAGTTACTGGTTTCATACAAGAAAGAAAAATGTGTGTACATTTTTAAGTACGATCTGTGTTTGTTCCTATGCAAGATATCACTCATATCTCTTTTCTATTTCTTTTTTTTCCTTTTTTTGAAGGGTATCGTTTGATACTCCTATAATTGCATTTAGGAAACTTCTTAGATCCCAGAAAAGTGTTTCGCTTGAATATTTGTGGGGTCTAAATTTGTTGGGACTTGGGAAGATGGTTCTTTTTCTATTTCTAGCTAATGTTATAGTTGGACTAGTGAATCTTTCCCCTCCTCCTATAGGTACCTGTGTCACATATGCGGTCTTTACTTGATTACTACTGTGACTAACTATTTGTTGTTCGTAAGGTTTAGATAAGTTCACAGAAGAAGAAAACAGGAGTCATTATTCCAAAGCGCTTTGTACAGAGATTGAAGAAACAAAATGAGCTTTTCCGCAGTTATATGCACCAGGTATTAGACATCAATTACTTTATTTCTTCCTCTAAATTCACCATCTCCTTTGCTTATTCAAGGTTTTAATTACTGTAATGTAGTAGCCTTTTCCTATAATGTCAACCAAATATTGACTTTATTTTCTTCAATGGAAAATGCGGAAGAGAATAACTATCTCTCTCTCTTTCTTGGTAGGATGCTCACGAGTTCTTGAACTTTTTGCTGAATGAACTTGTCGACATATTGGAGAAAGAGGCTCAAACAGCAAAAAATGAGGCTGAAACTTCATCACAACCAGAAAAGACTACAAATGGTCCAAAGAATCCTCAGGCAAAAGGTGTTCAAAAAGAGCCTCTGGTTACATGGGTACACAAGAATTTTCAGTTGCGTTTGCTAGTCATGTACCGTATTCCAATATTCTTAATCATTCTTGTTTTTTGCTTTATTTACTTTGCTTGACATGAAATATAGATGAAATCAAGTATTTCTTTACTCAGGCTATATTTAAGCTACAATGTAACTGGAAATCAAAGTGGCATATCTAAAATTTTTTTGGGTAAGTGACATTTCTAAAATTGTAAGAAAAATACTAGGTCTACAAAGCATCTGTATGTTGTTGAAAAATTAAACTAATTTGTGCAGTGACAGATAATTAAATACAAGCATTACTAATACTATCAAGAAATGCTGCAGGACATTGCATCATTGGTAAACCTCTTTTGTGTATCCTTTTATCTACACTGCATCTTCTATTGATACTTTTAGTAATGCTTTCCTTTTCTTTCAATTATGATATGTCATCTGTAAACTGTAAAGTGCAAACCATAAGATAACAAGGAAATGGGCCATTATTGTCCGATTACTAGTAGGAGAAATCCCCGAGAGGATTGTTTTTATGCAGAAAGGCATGGAAAAGGCATTGAGGCCCTACTTTGAATTGAAAAATGTGAGTAAAAATAGTTTTTCATACTTAAATTTTCTTTTCATTCTACATGTAGAAAACCGAGTCTGATATTGGAAGCATGTCTTTCCTGGAAAGAAAACGAAGAGAATCGTGTGTGTATATCTTCATGTTATTATTCAAATATTGGATTGATGTTATTTAAATATGATTTTAGCACAAAAAACAAAGTGTTATTCAAATATGATTTTAAATATGTTATTATTCAAATATTCATTGCGTTGCAGATCGATTGTTATATACTTCACTTTAAATAAGTATAAATTATATACTTATTTCATATTTTTTACTTAGGTTGGCGATTGGAAGGAAGAATACACAGATGATGACATTGATGATATTCGCAAAGAATGGGTATCTTATGTGGCAAACTTTATTATGCCGTGATATTTTGTATCGACATATGATTACAATATTTTCGATAACTTAATGTTAATATATTGTATGCAAATGAATTGCTTATATATAATATGATATATATATTTAGTATTACGCGACATTAAATGTGATTTTGTTTGATTATTTATCAATCTACAATATATACAATCATGACACACGAGTGTGTGTCATCTTTTTTAATGATGTGTGCTTCAATGACACACAATGTAAGTTATAAATGCGTGACATCTTCATTTATGACGGGGGTTTCAATGACGCGCAATGCGCGTCATAGATTTATGACACACAATTGCGTGTCATCTGAGATTTATGTCGGTGGCTTCAATGATGCGCATTTGTGTGTCATCTGCACTCATAGATGACGTGCAATGAGCGTCATTAAAGGGATTTTTTCTAGTAGTGCTAATTTATGTTTTTAATCCCTATAATTTAATATTAATGCAATTTAATCCTTGTATATTATTTATTCATTTTTATATTAAATGTTTTGGCTTTTTCTTACTCTAATTTATTTAATTGGGTTTATTGATCGAAATAGTATTTCTATTTTTTATTTAGTTATTTTTTCTTTAGAATTTGTCCTTAGATTAGATTGGTAAACCAAATTGTATCTAGTAATTAGGATGCCATCTTAGTTTTAATTAGGGAACAATTCGATTCGAGTTTTCGTATAAGATGCCCGATTACTCGAGTCGATTGTTCGAACTCTTAATTTGTTAACCATCGACTAGTTTTGAAATCTATTTTAATTTAATCTCTTAATTTCTAATAGGCTAATTCAGGTAATTATTAGAATTTTCATTTGTTGATTAATCCTTAAATTTTAGAATTATTAATTTAGGCCCTTGAACTTTTAGGTTTTTAGAACTCTGGATTTTAGTTCTTTTACCCTTTAGTACTTAAAACTTCAATTAGACTTTTAAATTAATATAATTAAATAAGTTAAATAGAGTCTTCACTTTTAGCTAGATTTCAATAATAGTCCTTTTAATTTAGGGAATAATTCGAGTTGACACTCGCCTAAATGCTTAAGGGACCATCTCATTTATTCGATTTAATAATTGATTAAAATCAAATAGGATTATTATTAGAGCATAAATGTATAGGTTTATGCCTCTAGGTTCTTTAATTTTCATAATTTGACACTTTAAGATAGAGAGAGCCTTAATATACCCTTAGTTTAATTTGGATTAATAATATGTTGTTTGATTGCATCATATTTTTAAACGCAAGGAAATGTTCACTTATTAGGGAATCAATAGTATATCTCCCGCAAATATGCTCAGGGGGTGACTATTGGTGATTCCC